AATAGTGAACTCCATGGAGTCGGATGTTCTGACCGAGTCAGTTACAGAAGACAGTGCCGATGATCAGCAGGTCACAAAGAAATTACCCGTTAGACGAGCCAGAAAGGGGCTGAAGCGACTAAAAGGGAAGACAGGAAGTCGAGCCGTGAACCCGAGAGTGGTGAAGTCGAGAGCTAGCGCAGTGGTGACCTCTCTAACGAGCGCAGGTCGTTTAGGCGAGAGCGGGCAAGGAGATAGTGCAACGCTGACAGGGGGAGAAAAAGAGAATCTGATACCCCCTATGCTCTTGGCAGGTCTGACCACGACGGCCGTAAGATCAAAGAAAACAGCACGAACCCTGGCAGACACTAAATTAGAGATGGAGATCATCAGTCAATGTGGATCTGGAGGACTTGAAGATTACAGGCCCTCGTGGACCAACATAGCCAAGCTGAAGCTGGAAGGACAACTCGACGTGGTCGAGTACAGTCGAGTCACTGTGCCGGAATCGGTCCACATGGGAGATCCAGCAGGGGGTTATGTGGAGATGTTGAAAGCGAGGAACTCCGCGAGAGGGCACCTGATGGCTTGGAGCGAGAAGCGAGCCATGCAGGAATATCTGAAAGAGCTTACGGAGAATTCAAACTTAAATCGGAAAGAATACGGCACGGTAATGTCCTCTGAAGCGAACGAAATCGGATTGGAAAAACTACTGGAAATTTCTTGGAGGGCGGCCCTCCAGAGATACTTCGACGAGACGATGCATGCACCTGCGACGGTGGCAGCGTACCTGGCTCATCCGTGCACGAGAACTGACCTGCAAGTACGGTTGGCTTGGTGCTTGATGGGCATCAAGAAGGCGGAATATAAAGCCAGTAATGATTCGAAATCACGGGAACAGGAGCTGGAGTTGATGGAAGCTCTACGAGCGTTGACTTCAAAAGACGATTCTGCGATAGCATGGGCTAAGCGTAAGGATGCCCTTTGCTTTGTCAGGTTCGTGGTGGATCGTATCCCCACTCCTGTTTTGGGAGAATGTATAAAGATCATTCGGCAAAAGGGAGTTGATTGCGAAAGGAACTTCCTTAGGGCACTCCTGGAACTATATCAGGATATGCCGTTGACTGTACCAAATAAGGAGTCGAATGACATGGAGAGCTATCGCAAGTTGGAAGAAGTGAGAAGATATTCCAACAAAGAGTTGAAAGTGAGCCGGGAGTTTATTGAAGCAGTCAAGGGACAAAAAGACTTTGCAACACTAGGGAAACTGAAGTCGTTCCAATATGTGTCTGGCCAACCGGGGATGGCGTATAGTCCCTTCGTGAATGAAGAAGCCAGGGAAGCGTACTTCGACTATGAGCAAGTCATAGTACTCAATTTCTGGGTTGAACGGATTAAAGAAACTGGAATGCTGATGGTGGAACAACCCAAGCTGGGAATTATCTTGGAAGAACAAGTGGTCGAACCCTCGGTTCCCGAGCTAAAGGGGCAAGTGAGTTTTGATTGTGGTTCTTGGGACGGTCCCTTGAAAACCAGTCTAGTAACGATGTGGGAACTCATGAAGCCTTCTTGGTGTCCTCATCCTAACGCCGGTTTAATCTGGGACATGACGGCGGATATCACGTTAGACCTGGATGATGACGCGAGTTTGCATGATCTGGCCATGATACATCATCTGCTGGCCATGAGGTTGACGAAGCGGAAGAGCAACCCATCCACGGAGCTGTCCGAGGAAGGTCCATCAAGCAATTGGTTGAAGCAGGGCACATGCTTGGCTCAACATAGTGGGATGGAAGGACATGTTTGTAACCTGGGACACTGCCTAGTTACGCTGAGCGAGCAGCATCGGCAACTGGCACGATTGTACGGAAGATTGAGCATGTCGGATAAGAGCGGTATGGAGTTGGTCGCGGACTGTCATGGGGTGACGGATGTAAATTTGATCACAGCCTTGGGATTTTGTAGCATGACGAGTTCGATAGAATCGCTTGAGCGCCTGGAGCGTGCCCATGAGCTAGTGACGTCCCTCAGAGTGGAAGTATTCCCTGGAGCATTGCAGACGGAGCAGAAGATCGGGGGCTGGAGAGAAGCTCTGGAGAACGAGATGAATCTGAAAGATAGTGAGGCCTATCATAAACCGACTGGTTCAAAATATCTGGTGGGTTCAAGCTCCGCACCATATTGCAGTAGTAGATATCCTACACACATGGTGGTGATGGATGCAAGGACACAGCAGGTGTTGATTGACCAACTTTTCTCTGTGCCAAAGTGTGTAAGGTTGGCCAGAATGTCGGAGAGGTCATATGATTTATTGGCGAAGATCTTTCGGGCAGTCCCGAAGAGATCTGAAGGCGAGTTGCAAGACGTAGTGGGTGAAGAGTTTCTGAGATTAAACGAAGGCAATGTGAGTGAGTTCCAGAAACAGAAAGCGAGTGGAGCGTTACCCACTGAATTCCCCACCATAGAAGAGAAAGACGACTTACACAGAATTCTGATGGAGGTGGAACCGTTGCTGGGAGCCTCAGGGTATCGGACCCGAAGGAACATAGTGAGAATCCATGGGGAGTATCCTTGCCACTGCTTGGCGCAGACGTTGTGGTACCCCAAACGCGGGAATCTGATGCTAGTATGGGACGTGGAGGAGTTATACTCTACGGGGTTGCCCGATCAGTTGCTGAAAATCTACAACTTTTGCACAAAAACATTTACTTAAACTGTTAAAATTTCCATGAACTGCCTTTTTTGAACTGCTAGTGGAGAAACAACCTTTCATTGTAATTTTTCCTAGACCAAGTACATCTCTGCCTCAAAAGAATACCTCGAACTTTTTTACAACTCTTGTTTATTTCACTATTTGTCGAACAAGGGACCGGCCGGTTCCCCCTCAGTGTGAGAAGAATGAAGACTGGGGGGTACAGAGGAAGAGTGTTGCAGCAATGGCTTTTATTGTGAAAGCATCTACAGAAACATAGAGGACATGGATACACAAAAAGACCAGTTAGGGTGAGGAAGATCAGCGGCTTAAAGTTAAGCAAACACTAAACAATTTCCTATTTTCGATTATCTCCTATTTTCGTTTTGATTATTGAACTTGTTAAACTTTTTTATTTTGGTTTAGTTTGGTCAAACCAAACTTTGAAAATTGTTACAAATGTTAAATTGTTGAAAAAGAGATTTTAGTTATACTATTTATGTATATATAGAACATAGGTGAGTATATTTACCTATTTAAACACGATTGAAGTTTTTAACATGTGTAAGACACAATTTAACTGTGTGGCAACATGGTAAGATTGAGTAAACTCGCTCGAGAAGGGTGGGTAACCCAATAACTTTCCTAGCCACACAGTTTCTTAGTTTTAATATTGAAATAAATAACTGATTATACTTGGTGAGTGACGTTAAGTTAATTTTAACGGGTGCGTGGCCGTCCCACGTCCCACTTTTTAATCACAAAGAGCGAAAAGAAATTTTATGGCAAGACGACGTAAGTAGTCAGAAAAGAAATTTTATCTAGGACACTCCTCATGATGCAAATTTTGTGAAAATGTTGAAAGGCAGTGAGATGTAGTACGATGCCATTTGTGAACACGTAGTGAGTTGAGGTGGGGTAGATAAATTTCATTTTCTTATGCGATTTGTAAGATTGAGTACAGAAAACTGGATAACTACTTGACGATAACCCGGTGTTATGCGATCAATAGGGACATTGATGGGGCTGTCCGGGGAGTATGTGCCATTCTGCCAGATTGGCACAGCGCAACCTTCCGACGAAGCACGAATCAGAGAGAAAAGGCCTTAACAGCAAAAAAGTGATTGAAAGGAGGGTCGAAGTATTCTGAACTTTCCTATTTTTAAAATTTCGATTTTCAAGTTGATATTTCTCAGATATACGAAAAACGGCCATTTTGACCAAAAAAGCTGAGAAAATCAGAACAACGACAAATATTGTGAAAAACAGTCGTACAAGAGACGGAAAATACGAAGCCTCTTATCGTGGCAACAACGCACGATAAGACACTTGTCAGCGGATACTAGTGGAGAAGGAAGCTTCAGTGGGGAAGGAGTATTCCACGGAACCCTCCCGGGACGCAAATTAGGAGAGATAAGAGCGTTATCGCTGGAATATCACGGGAGGGGAGGCTTGGTCCCCTAGAGACTGTTTATGTGAAGGGACTGTATAAAACTAACTATATAGCTACCTGGATGTCGTGAAACTTTAATTTAACACCGGTGTAACTTGATATTTTAGAATATGAGTAGCTAGAAAGAGGAAAGGGTCAATCCATCTCCAATGGATTTAATATAAAACTGTCACACAAAAATATGTGAAAATAGGTTGTTCGAGCCGTGTTTTTAATGACAATCACGTAGTCTGAGGATCCGAGACTCAGCTATGTGGTTGTGTTCGCATGTAAACGAAAGCTGATCAAAAGTCGTTTGACTGATGGCCTAAAAATGGTAACTTTTTACTTAGCCCTAGACAGACCAGAAAATCAACTGGCAAGGTCGAGACGGTGAAAAACGAGTAGAATTAAGGTAACTGACGCCTGCCAGTCGTTAATAGGTACTTTTTCTACGCTCCGTCGCTGTGTAGTATTTGGGCGAATGTTACAGAACTTTGCAAAGCAATGCAAAGGTACCTTATTTGGATACAAGTGTGATCGAAGGGTCCCAAAAAATAATAGGGTTTCTTTGTAAATAGTGCTCCAAAAATGTTTATTTTTGGCCTCGGTGATGTCATTTACTGAATCAAATAAGTTCACTTCTTAATTGGTCTGCTGTCTCTGAGCTAGCATGATTTATGACCCTCTGTCACTCCTCGTTTTTACCGGGACCCCTCTTCAATTCTTGTACCCTTCTTTGTAGAATTTCTTGTATCATTGATGTCTTGTGTACCTATCATGTCGAATATTATGTTTGTAACATTTCGCTGTTATTTATATTACAAATTCATGAGATTTCAGAGCTTTTTTGTCTGTCAAGATAATTTGAAACGCTTTGTATTTCTGTTCTATTTCAGGCGTTGTTTATCATGTCTGGGGTTGGTAGAAAAATCGAAGGTATCATTACCAACATATTGGTGTTGGTTGGCGATGTAGTCGCTTTGATAACCTACATACCAAACTACATCATTGCTTTCAAAAGCATTGCGTTGTCTCAGAGAAACAGAGCACTACCAAGTGGGTCCGGTTCTAAAGAGATCATTTATGATCACGCTGATGTAGTCGAGGGAAAGCCTTTTCGGTCCAGTGAGTTCTACAAAGATTCCAAATCAGTGTACGAGCAATGGAAAATTGCAGAAGAGCGGTAAATGATTAAAATTCAAATCCAAATTGAATTATCTGCAAATATTATTTTAAGTCAATTATTAGCACCCGTATCGATTTTATTTGAAAAGGACTTAAACACTTGTCATCTTCTTTTATCATTATCACTTCCATATCTAAAAAATTCCAAGGATTTTGACTGGAATACATGATGAAGGGACTCATGACTGTAACCTCGGTTACTATGATACTTTTGACCTTCTGATTACCCTTTATTATTAGCACTTCTTCAACTCGTATTATGTTTGCAAACTTAACATTTTGTCTTGAAATCACTGCCTTTAATTGTGTGTGTGTCTTTATTTTTGTTAGAAGTAATAGAGAAACCACGTTGGCTTTAATGCATCGTTTTGGGCTCGTTTTTTGGCTTAAGTGGTGTCCAACTAAACTTAAATGACTACGACGCCAAAAAAATTTTCAATTTCGAAATTTGTTCTGTGCAGGCGGTCCAAGTGCAGAATAAATTATATCTTATTGGCGGAGCAATAAGCAGAATGGTCCAAGAGCAGAAAAACAGAAAAATTGTTGTGATAAACAACAAGCCTAATTGTTGTGATAAACTTATTAAATAGTTTGAGATGGGTATGTGCTAGTGATCACCTGGCTGGACGTTGCACACTTCCTGACCTGCCCGAAGTGGACCACTGGTCTTCAGGTAGCGTGCCATCCACGATCTGGTCTGGACCCCGCACTGGAATTCTGGTCTCCTGGTGTGGAACCCGTAGCCCGATCTTTTTGAAGGAGCAATATCTTATTGCTCCGCCAAATTGATTAGATATCAATATCTAATTATATCTTATTGGCGGAGCAATAAGCAGAATGGTCCAAGAGCAGAAAAACACAAAAAATTGTTGCGATAAACAACAAGCCTAATTGTTGTGATAAACTTATGAAATAGTTTGAGATGGGTATGTGCTAGTGATCACCTGGCTGGACGTTGCACACTTCCTGACCTGCCCGAAGTGGACCACTGGTCTTCAGGTAGCGTGCCATCCACGATCTGGTCTGGACCCCGCACTGGAATTCTGGTCTCCTGGTGTGGAACCCGTAGCCCGATCTTGACTCTGGCTCTCCCCTTCTGCCTTCGCTATCTCTACGTCTGGGTGAGACCCCTCCTACGTTAGGCATGCAATTGTTTGCCTCTTTCTTCTCGACCGTGTTTCTGGTTTTAGCTTTCAACCGTGTGCAGAACGGTCACACCCCTGTTGGATCTACTCACATGCTGCTGCTGGCTCGCGAGAAACCTGATCCACAATCACGACAAGAACTGCGGTCACGCAAGTTTAAACTCAACTCAAAGCTGTCGTTTTATAACATTTCTATGCTCCTTCTTTTATGCGCTGGTGATATTGAAAGTAATCCTGGCCCGGCTGTCGACCCTACTCAGTTGTTCAGATTTGTTAACGCCGCGGAGATCTTAGTCGGGTCGTCTGTGGCCATCTCGGATCTAACCTCCGGTATCTATGATGCTTCTATCCTCAAAGTTGACAACGATCGCTTCTTTGCTCACTTTCGTGGTTGGAATAAAAGCTATGACTCCTGGGTCAACCTTGATCAAATTTTCCGGCTCCCTGATGGTTATGTTCCGATAGGCCGGAATTCTCGCGGTCCTATTTGCCTTCTCGCGCCTCCTGTCTCCAGTCCTATCTCTGTCGCTTTAACGAGTTCTCCTTCTCGGGATGCTCCTGTTAGCTCTGGCCTCTCTCAAGGGATGTCAAGTATGACGATCTCGGCTGAGCTCGCCGAAAGCGCTGTGCCGGATCTTTCTGACGTCATGTCTTCCAGAGTTGACACTGTCCGGTTCGTTCCGATTTCTCTTCGTAACGAGTGGTCTGAGGTTGTTGGTCACGCCCTTGACAACTGCGCCACCGCTCCGGACAATCTGAAATACTGGACTCGGTTGCTCATGCTCCCCAAATGTATCTTGAAAGCCCCTCGCCGCGGAGGCAAGTCTCACGCCGCTAATAACTGCAGAGACATTCGCCAAAGAATCAAGTCCTGGAAGGAGGGCAATATTTCGGACCTCTGGTCTAACGCTACCAAAGGACCTAAAGAGCGAACGAAGAAAAACAGCAAACCTTCTCCTGACTTTAATGTCCGCAGAGCCAAAGAGCTAGCAGGCCTCGGTCAGTTCGGCAGAGCAGCTAAAGCCCTGTGTTCCGATGGCCTCGTGTCCAAAAGTGACGAGTCGCTTAAGGACCTTCGCAGTCTTTATCCTTCCGCTGACCCTCCTGTCTTTTCTGGCCGGGATGAATCCCCTCTTGCCTACCAATTCGAATCTGAGTTCGTTCATAAGTCTCTCAAAAGTTTCCCGAGCGGCACTGCTGCCGGTCCTTCGCGCTGGTTTCCTGAGCATTTTGTTCACGCCGTTGAGTGCCCCACTCCTCAGACTGCTGCCAGAACGTTAGAGTCCCTCAACAGGGTTGTTAATATCCTCGCTGCCGGGCAAGCCCCTTCTAGTCTCTCTCCGTGGCTGTGCAGTGCGAATCTCTTTGCCACCGCTAAACCCAAGGGTGGTGTCCGGCCTATTGCGGTCGGCGAAGTGCTCCGAAGGCTCACTGCTAAATGCCTTGCTAAAGCCGCCAACGCCGAAGCTCGTGATTTTCTGTGTCCTCACCAGCTTGGAGTCGCTACCAGCGGTGGCTCGGAAGCCATCGTCCACGCTACTAAAATGACAGTCAAAAAGTGCTCGGAACATGGTCACCAAGGCGTCTTAACAGTGGATTTTGAGAACGCTTTCAACACGCTAGACCGCACCGAGATCCTCCTTCAAGTTCGCAACCGTCTTCCCGGTCTCTCCGCCTTTGTTGAGTTTACCTACGGTCACCACAGTCATCTGCTGTTCGAGGATGTCATTCTCAACAGCGAGAAAGGAGTTCAACAGGGGGATCCGCTAGGGCCTCTCATTTTTGCGGTCACCCTGCACTCTCTAGTCGAATCTCTCAAGTCGGAAGTCCCCGGTCTCACCCTCAACTGCTGGTACCTTGATGATGGGATTTGTGCCGGCGACGAAGACTCCTTGCTCAAGGCTCTCGAACTCATCACTTCCAACGGCTTGCATCTCGGCCTCAAAGTCAAGCACAGTAAGTGTGAGTTGTGGGCCCCTGTGGAGTTCTCCTCCATCCCCGTCTCTATCCCGAGAGCAGCGTCTAATGGCTTCGAGCTTCTTGGCGCCCCCATTGGTGATACTGAGTTCTCAGTTAAAGTCCTGGACAAACGCATCTCGAAGGCCACCAAATGTCTTGAAAAGTTACCTCTTCTTGATGACCCCCAGCTCTCACTTGGCATCACTCGCACTTGCCTTGCTGCTGCCAATGCTGACGTACTCTCTTCGCACTCAGCCGCCCTCTCAGCCTGTCGCAGCTTCCCTGCAAGTTTTTGATGAACTCCTCCGCGATGCTCTTTCTGTCATAGTTGGCTCACCTGTTCCTGATCTTGCCTGGTCCCAGTCTTCCCTGCCTATCAAAGATGGCGGACTTGGCGTCCGGCAAGCTCGCGACCAACACATCCCTGCCTTCCTAGGGTCTTCGTGTCAGTCAGCTCATTTGGTCTCGTTTCTTACCGAATGCGACATCACTGATACGCCGGAGTTCCTGCGTGCCTCGAACGACTTCCGTGAACAGTCTGGAAGCGTTAACACTCCCGGTTTTACTCAAGAAGCTTTCCAAGAGAAACTAGATAAGGCCACCTACAACGCGTTCTTCTCGTCTCTTCCCGATTCCCGCGAGCAAGCTCGTCTTCAGTCGCTCTCTCTGCCTTACGCCGGCGCTTGGCTTACCGCAGTCCCCATTAAAGGTCTTGGCCTGCACCTGCTACCTGCTGAGTTCCAAGCTGCTGTCAGATACCGCCTTGGTCTTCCTGTGTTCGCGTCTGCTCGTAGGTGCCCCGCGTGTCCGTCTGGCATTCTGGACGTCCTCGGGGACCACGCTGTCGCTTGTGGGGGGAGTGGTGGCCGGATCTCCCGTCACGACAGACTACGGGACATTATTTTCAATGCTACCTCGGCTGCCTCTTTAGCCCCCATCAAGGAGCAACGGAACCTCATCCCTGGAGAACGGTCCAAACCCGGCGATATTTTTATCCCTACTTGGAGCGCTGGTCGCCCAGCTGCTTTCGACGTCACCGTGACATCCCCGCTGCAGTTATCTCTTCTCGCTCGTGCGGCGGAGACCCCCGGGGCGTCCCTGGAAGTTGCTGAGGACCGCAAATTTTCGAAACACGAGAAAAACTGTGAGGAACAAGGAATCAGTTTTTTCCCGTTAGCAGTCGAAACGCTCGGGGGTTGGTCCGCTTTAGCTATCAAAACCCTCAAGTCAGTTGCTATCCTCGCTGATGCCAGACGTTCTGGTTCACGTGACGCTCGTGTTGCCCCAGTTCGCCTTCTCCAGAGCCTCTCAGTGTGCCTCATGAGAGGAAACGCCACTATGATTGTCAGCCGGGCCATCTAGTCTTGTGCAGTTTATTTCGTTTTTTGCATTCCCAATTCTGGTGCTCCTTTGTTCCTTTGCTATTAGCGCATTCCCCCTCACTTTTCAATCCTCAATGATTCATCCCACATTTGTTGTTTGTTTTGTATATGTCATTATATCAGTTGAATTTTAAAAAAAGTATAATAAAAAAAAAACTTATTATATTGGTTTATACTTTTTAATACTTGGTTTATACTTTTTCTGGTCGTTCGGTTTACTCTAATTTGTTTCTTTCTACTATTGAGGAACTCGACTTATTACCCCTTATTTATGAACCAACTCATCGATCCGGTAACACCCTGGACCTGATATTGTCATCCCATACTGAGTTATTAACCGTTTTCTTTGACAATAAATTGTATTCAGACCACTTTCCCGTGTTTGCTTTCTTTACAATACCCAAATTAACACTGAGCACCGCTGGGCTAAATTTAAGCTCTCAAATTTCGAAAGCCTTATTCTCTTGTTCAGTTTTCAATGAAAATATCAGCCCATGCTTTGATAATCTTATTTTTACTCAAAACTTGAGTTTTGGCTCATTAAGTATCGAAGATAATGTACGTGACTGGTATTCTGAAATTATGGCAGTAATAAACTTTGCGTGTTGTAAAAAGACCAAAAGACGGCAACAACTTCGTTATTTTTATTCGTCCCACACTGTTCATCTTCTTATCAAATATCGAACAGCTTCAAGACTTAACAATAACAATCTACGTCTCTCTTCATTACAATACGATATTGATCAATCAATTGAACTCGACAAAACATCTTTATTTGAATCGTTATCTCCGACTTCGACGCGTGACTGTTTTAAATATCTGCGCTCATTTACTAGAAAACGACTACCAAATCAAATGCACTGGAAAGATTAAAAAAAAAGCTACCAATTCTTTGGAAATAGCCAATCTTATGAATGATTACTTCTGTTCTGTGTTCCTACCAAGATGGAATTCTGCTCTATATGCACATGACAACCCTTCAATTCTATTAAACATGCTTCAAATAAGTGTTGTTCAAGTTCAAACGTCACTCGCCTCAGCTTCAACTACATGTTTAACCAACGACAACCTTCCAACTTTTGTTCTTAGCAACTGCAGCAACATTATCGCGCCACTTGTCGTTCAGCTTTTTGTTCATGTCCTAAATACCCAAAAATAGCCTACACTTTGGAAATGTGCTTACATAACACCCATCTTAAAAACAAACAATCCAGAAAATGTTGAAAATTACCGCTGATATCAGCATCTTACCTCAATTATTGCTTATTCTGGAGAGAATGATTTTTAAATTTATATATCCTCGAGTGAGACCAAATATTACTTCCGTTGAGCATGCTTTCATGACGAAACGATCAACCATTACCCAACTTCTTGAATATCTTGACAAAATTTATTCAAATAATGAGACGAATCTTGAAAGGCTTTCAGTATACTTCGGTTTTTGCAAAGCTTTTGATCAAGTACCTCATCATATTCTACTAAGCAAATTGGCTAATTTTGGATTTGATTACACGTTTCTCGAGCTTTTCTCTTCGTATCTGAGTGATCGTCCTCAAATTGTAATGATTCAAAATATATCTTCTTCGATAGGTTATGTTACTAGTGGAGTGCCGCAAGGCAGCGTCTTAGGGCCACTATTGTTTGTTCTCTTCATTAATGACATGCCAAATGCTCTTTTAAATTCTGACTGTTATTTGTTCACCGATGACAGTAAATTGTTTTCCAGCGCAACGCATTTTGACATTATGAGAGATATAGATCTTTTTAACCAATGGACTATCGAAAATGAAATGACGTTTAATGCCGATAAATGCAAATTTATTTGTTTTAATTCTAATGAGTCGGAGACATTGCTCTGTCTTAATGATATCTCTATTCCTTCGGTATCATCTATCAAAGGTCTCGGGGTCACAATTTCTCAAAATTTGAAATGGGACAACCATCTTAAACTCAAGCTTATTGCGGTTAATAAATTTTTTTTTTTTTATCAAACGTTCCATTCCATACAGCGTCTCATTGTGGACCAAGTTTAAATATTATCAACTTTGCATCAGAAGTATCCTTCTCTACGGCAGTCAAATCTGGTATCCTTCCTTACTTTACAGGCGTAAACTTGAATTGTTTAATAAAAAGTGTCTAAAATGGGTGACGGGTCTCAGTGAATACGCTGAGCAATTAAAGGTGATCAATTCCCTGCCAATATCTTTCTCCATTGCATTATACGACTTGGTTTTCCTCAATAAAGTGCTTAATGAGAAATTCGATTTCGCCATTTACAAATTCATTAATTTTACCTTCTCCGCCAAAGATCTTCGTAACACTGCCTACCCTAGACTGACAGCAACCAAGAAATGTCGTCTCTTTTTCACAGAGCAGTTTTTCTTCTATCGCGTGAGCCGATATGTAAACATGCTATATTCCAATGATATTGCAGATTTTTTTGCATATCCTGAAGCGTTTAAGAAAACACTCAAAAACAATCTGCAAGCGAGGGTTAACTCATTTGATTTAAAAAACTCCTATACTATGTTTTTGGCCTGTAATTGTATCAATTACCGTTCTTAGTACACCTTGATTACAGTAATAAACCATGTAAATAGCCTTTCAACAATCTGTATGATGCCTTTAAATATGTTAAAGGGAGTTAATTCTTTCAGTAGTACTAGTAGTAGTAGTAGTAGTATACGGGCTAATTGATAAAACAATTATTAGAATTGTCAAAAATACCAAGAAAACGAACAAATTATGCATGAATTGACAAATTTCATTAAGTTTTTAGATTGATTTTTTTTCTAAAAATTCTTGATGAAATTACGCACATAATGCATAAAATGTTTGTTTCTTTGGTATCATTGACATTTCTGATAATTACTTTACCGATTAACTCATAAAAAATGATATTTTTCTGTTTTTCTGCTCTTTGACCCATTCTACTCTTAGACCATTCTGCTTAATGACTGGCCACCCTTATTGGCTTGTTCCTGAATAACTTGCATCTGTAACTCAAACTCACCTATTTCGGCGCCATAAATTGCGGAAATTCATTGTGCAAATAGAAGATAAAAATTTTGGAAGAAAAAAACAAGCCAATAACTTTTCGTAGCCTTTCATCAGCAACCAAACGACCATGCCCTAGCAGGTGTTGTAATCGTTGTTACCCTTGCGATAGCAAGGGTATTGCAATTGGTTACTAGTCTTTTTTTTTCGTAAACAACGTTGTCGACGGAACTAATTGAACTGGTGGTACCTTGGTCATAATGAATTCGAAATTTGTAGTGTCTCTTGGACGCTTAGCCTGGTGGTAACGAATACGCCTGGGAAGGCAAAGGTCCTGGGTTTGAATCTGACCAAGACCAGTTTTTTTCAGACGTTAATTGTTGATTCAAAAAAGTTTCGGCCTATTTATTGTCTGCTTATCTTTTGTCGGCTTAGTTGCCGGATCTAAGAATCGTTTTTTTTTAGCTATTTGCAATTTAAACTGCAGTTGTTCTTAGGATGTTAGAAATGGTGCAGGCAATTTTGTTCCGGATAATTTGGGCTTTTGCAATTTTTATTGACAAAAAGGATTTTTTGATTTTTTTTCGTTTGATTTTCATAAAATTTAACTTTGTATCGCAAGTGATGCGAAGCTCAGGTTCGCCACTGTGTCAAATGTTTTCCAGAACTAGTATTTACGGTAGAAACTTAAAAGGGGGAGGGGTGAATAATAGTCTGCTACTTCAGTTTCGAATTAGTTCTTTCTGATCTTGAATCCTTTTCCTCGTGGACCATTCGGCGCTATGCACCCCTCTATGCTATATAGTTGTTTTGAGAAAAATGAAAGTGTAATTTTTCCATTGAAGAAGCCACTTGAAAACCTAAGTTGAAACAGTCTTTTTCAGTTTTTTTAACAATTATGAAAGACGTATTTTTAGCATATTTGCATGTTAAGTTGCTACTCAAAATCTGTGTTTTTTAGGCTGGCTGTAATTATAGTAATTCAGATTTGTAATGCTTCCAGTTTTTTGTGTGTAGCAACTTATTCCGGCCTAAATAAGTTTTCGGTATTTCTTATATCAAGTATTTCTTATAAAAAATTTCTGGTATTTATAAAAAATTCGCTTGTCAATCGACGCAATATGAGGCGACTATAATTGCGTCGATTGACAAGCGAATTTTTTCAATTTTGTATGCTCTGGGGAGGATGACTTACAAACTGAAGTATTTTATAGTTCACAGCTAATTTTTTACCCAACGGTCGTCTCTCCAAGTATTATTGACTTGATAAACGTTTCTGTTTCAAGGCCAGTTTGACTCTGGCAATTGTCTTTCTCGAATTATATCTTCATTGATTTCGTATGGAAAATTCGATAGATAAGGCTGTCGACGCTTTCAAACGACGCTTACAAATTTTTTTGACTTCGTAATTTTCGTCTCATTTTCTGTCGACTAGTTTTCCATGCTGTGCTTATGATTTATCGCAAGAGGCGCGAAGCTCCTCTGCGCAGCTTTGTCCTAACTAAAGTAAGAATTTATTTTTGTTCAAATTATTTTATGGGTTTAAAGCTTCGAGCTGTTTTTTTTTGGATTAATTGCCTCTTAATTGGTTATTAAAAATGGAATTATAAATTTTTGAGCGCTTTTTGGTTACAATTGAGCATTGGCGAGGGTACAAATATTGAAATTCTAACTGAAATTATTTTTTATCTTGATTCTTTATTTATCAACTCCGATGTTAAATCGGCTTAGTTGCCTCTTATTGCATCGTTTTGAAGGTGGAAGCATACCTTCATGCAAAATAATTTTTATGGCATCATTATTTTGGGTCAATAAACGTCTAGCGTTGTCTTTGTATCCTTTGTCGGCTTTGTATCCTTTTTATAATGTTTTTCTAGGCTTATTGTTTACGCTGCAACTTGTTTTTTTTCTAAATTTTAAAGGCTGCTCTTGCTGAATGAGAGAATGTTTTAGGTTTAAGCACCGGGATTGCGTGGGATACAGACAGATCCTGTCGGAGGAAGATGAGAAGCAGCCGAACGGAAAGGTGTTCCAGAAGTATGTCATGGGTGGCTATAAGTGGCTGTCCTACTCGGAGATAGAAGAGGCTGCTGACAACTTCGGCAGAGCACTGGCTACTCTGGTGGCGAAGAATAGCCAGAAGAGGAATCTGAACAACAAAAATATCGTCATTTTCTCAGGTTGGCCTTTTTGCATCAATAAGGAAACGAACGTCTTTCAGGAACTATGCGAATTTTTGATACCAGGTTGATCTTAGTACTTTTTGTGAAGTGAGTTCAATTGTTAGTGTTTGAAGATGATGCTAGGAAACAACAATGTTAAATCGCCACAGGCTATCCATACTTTTCGGGACCTCTTATCGGGCATGACATTGTGTTTCATGCGGCTCATAGCTTGACGAGCCGGCTTTGAATACATTATTGACTGCTGTAATGTAGCTATATAATTTAGCTCTGATTTCGATCGGAGTTGAAATGCACTGTAATATTTCAGCACAACTTATCTACCGTTTTACGGTTAATTATGTTATATATATAATCGACTTCGAAAACAAAAACTAACAAAAATTCGGAGCTATGTAACCGACTTTACATTTGGAAAACTAGTATGATTAAAGCAAAATGATGATGATTTAGAAACCGATGCCACTCTGGAGCCGGGAGCCGACGGCACTCTTAAGAGGGTGAAAAAAGTACACCCAGAAAAAGTTAATAACAGACGCATGAAGATGAATGATGTCGACGACAATAAATATATGAGTTCTGCTTGTTTCAGAGACTAGATACGAGTGGGTGGTGGCGTTCTTGGGCTGTGCCAAGTACAACCTCACAGTAGTGACTCTCTACTCCACCCTCAGTGAGGAGGCAGTGCTACATGGGATAACGGAGAGTGAAGCTAGTATACTAGTGGCCAGTGCAGACGGACTCTGTAAGATCAAGAGGATAGAGCGGGAGTCCTCGAATAATAACGTGTCTACCATTGTATGGTTCCCAAACCAGGTAAATGCCATACAAATTTGATCTTGAGAGCGAGCCATGACTTGATCATAAGAGAGTCAGGAAATCGCTGTCGGTTTTCTGGTGCTATGGTTTAAGCCCATTATTATTGGAATCTGATGGCAATTGAAACTATAAATGGCCCTATATTGTGTTAGATCGACAAAGTAACAAAATCCGAGTTTCCCCAGAACATTGACGTGTTCAACTACGAGCAGTGCCTGCAACTAGGCAGAGATAGCCAGGAATCCCTGCCGGAACCACCAGCCCTGCCCACCCTTTCAGACTTGGCGGTAATCATGTACACCAGTGGTAGTACCGGACTGCCTAAGGGGGTGATGTTGACAAATGGAAATCTGCTGGCTGCGATCGAGAATCTCCCAGAGTATATTGAGGGTATCGGAGTGAATGACACCTACATTGGGTACCTGCCTCTGGCACATGTACTCGAATTGACATGTGAACTCATTTGTCTGTTTTATGGTGAGTATAACTGCCAAAGACTACGACATCGATTTATACAAAATTTGAAGTGAAATTCATATATTTTGATACGAAATTCAAAATTTCTGTTTCTTGATTTGTGATAAGAATTGAAAGGGATTTAGACCGTCTCATTTTTTTCCATCAGTCGTATGCACGGCGACTAACAACATAATTTTATAGGCTGCAGGATAGGATATTCTTCACCTCATACACTTTCCGACAAGGGTACCAAGATCAGGAAAGGAGACGTTGGAGACGCAGTGGTACTGAAGCCTACCCTCCTCACCGCTGTGCCACTAGTCATGGACAGAATATACAAAGGTATGTCCCGTTTTGAAAGACCATTGAGCTTAATGCCGTTTAATAAGAAAAGCGATTGAAGCTAATTTCAATGAAATATTCAAAAAGCCTCAAAATGTTGATGTTAAATCATAGTTATCATTTCAAATAATCAAACAAAATTGATTTTGAACAAAATTTAATTTAGAGCTTTGAACCCTTATTTCTCGACAGTGAGATATACGTATGTTTTTCCTGCTGTTCAAATAACGACTGCAAGTGCTGCATGATGATTTTTTTCCGCACCCTGTACGATGTCTCTTGGGCGTGTCTGATATTGGTTGAAAATTTTATTATTCCATTGGTCGTGAAAGTTAGATTCTTTATTTGAGTGTTAATGGACGATTCTGGCTCATGCTGTTTTGTTTATCCTTGCGATAAGTAAGGGTGTTGCAACCAGGTAAAAGACTTTTTTCCCGGAAGCATCTTTTTTCACAATATTTCGCAGATTGTTCATATTGCTTTATAATAATTTCAAAATCAATGAACCATCCGACGCATATGGCGAAGAGGCGTGTGGTTCGAATCCGACCAGAAACTGTATTCTTTTCAAACTAGAAATTTTTTTGTTAGAATATCGTCGGTCTGTTTATTTTAACAAGATTTTTGCGGATTTTAAGTTTTCTTTTTTTCACACTAGCGGACTTGCGAGCGTTAGTGTATTTGTACGAAACCTCTTTTTTTTCTAACCTCGCAAATAAAAGTGTTCATTAAAAGTCTTCAATTATTTAGTGGCACTTTTGATATAATCACGATCTGTAGCATTTGAATTTTCATGGCATCTGTTTTCTGCTTTATCTGTGCCTAGTGTCTCTGATTTGTGAAGCGTCCGTGGTTGAGTGGTTAGTATTGTAGACTCATAATCTCCATGTCGCTGATCGAATCCGAGAAATAGCCGAGTTTTTACTATTTCGAGTCATTTCTTCCTTTTAGTGCACTTTATAGAGCTGCTTGTTTTTGTATTCTCGCTTGTGCAAATGCTAAGGATATCAACACACACTATTGTATTACAAATAGCACTTTAGCTTCAAGGTGTAATGGTTCTGTAGCGTAGAGGTAGCCAAGGAGACCAGCAGCAAAATTAGAGAGTTCGAACCACAGCAGGGTAGCATGTTTTTAATGAACTTTTTCGTATACTAAATAAAATGCGTCCGCTCTATAAATTGAAGCATGTTAGTTGGTAAATTTCTTTTCAAATTGACTGTTACTGCTAATGCGTCATAATTGGCTTGCGTCACTTAGCAATTATGTAGACTCAAAGTTTTACTCATTCAGTTTTTCCCAGTAGCGTTTTCGGTCATGTTTTTGCTTGTGTATGCGAAGTGCAACTTCGCCTCTGTGTAAAATTTTGTTTTTTTTTCTCAATTTTCTTTGTCTGCTTTTTTCGACTTGGTCGGTTTCTACTTTTTTATGTCTACTAAATGGACGTTTTTTTGTATCGTTTGATGGCCGAGAAAATTTTTGTGTGCGTGTTTTCTGAGGGGAATGTGTTCTCATAATTTTAAAAAAAAATTTTTGATGTTATTTTGGCATGAAGGGCTTTGTGTTTTTGTTTTATGTTACTGCTTGTTTAGTTTTGTTCCGAAGCTAATTTTGCATTCTGTTGTATTGGCATGTTTTTTTTTCAAACTGTCTTCATTCATTTTGAAAGATTGGTTGTATGTATAGTTATGAAACATCGGTTTTACTTCTTTTGCTGATGATTTTTCGGCTTGTAGCTCTCTGTTTAGCTTCCGAATTGTGTATACCACCTTAATTTCAGCACCTACATGCCTTTCGTGGATACTATTTGTATAGTTTCCCTTAAAATTTTGCCTAACAACTTAAGTTGATTTTCAGCTAACTGGCTGTCGTCTTATTTACCTAATATTTTGTTTGGTACAAATTTCCGATACTGCTTATGAGATTGTTAAGACTTTGGCCTCAGATTTAAATTTTCGGATGCTCAAATTCAACCCAATATAGAACTCATTTAATAACTCAAATAAATTGAAACATTAAAAAATTGATTGTCATTTTTTTGTTTCTAGTTATTTCTTCTACGCTGACAACTTCCGAAGTCAAGTCCTCTTTGTTAGTTCTTGAGTGTCATGCTGTTTTAATCATTTACTCCGCTCGATTTTTTCATAGGCTATCATTTTGATCAAGATTGGCATTGATTATTAATTTGGAACATATTTATTCTTGAAAACTATAATAAATGTAAAAATAAATGAATCGTTTTCTGAAAACGGCACGTTTGTCAACCACAGACATTTTGAGCATGTTTGCTTTCAATTAGCCGCTCTATTTACACAGGCGAAATTTATTCTGATAGTAAGATGCAATTATTCCCCAACCTAAGTCGCAATTATTAGTGTTGCTTGAGGTGAATTTTTGAAGCAGGAGGCTGAAAGGGCGTTCTATTAGCATGTGCGTTGACATTTGATTATTAATAAATTAATACAGTTGATGCATTTGAAGCGAAGTAAGCTATTTGTTCCATACAACTAATCAAAAATAAAAGTTCTTTCCGGAATTATTCCAACTTAGTATATTTGACGAATTTGAAATGCATAATTTATTCATAATTTCTGGTTTCCTTTATGCAGAGTTTGTGTGGTTGCCTTTAGCCTCTCAAGTTCCAAATTTTTGAATGCAAAACTTGTGTTGTTTGAAATTTGAAGCTCTTTTTTTGCCACTTGTGTTTGATTTCTATAAGATTCAGTGTGGCAATTCAGTATAGCAGCCAACTGGAAAAGAGGTATATCCGAGGAGTGAAGATTAATTTGTCATTATTTGCGACTGAAAAAGTTAGTTCGTGGCGTTTGTTCGCTTGTACTTGCAAAACGCAGCCTCGCCTCAGTGTCCTTATTTTGACTTTATTTAATGTTGGTTTTAGTTTACCAACTACGCTTTTGTTTGTTTCTTCATTTTTCTTTGTTTCTTTTAGTTTGCTCAGATGCACAAAATTTTTTTTCGGTTCATACGTATGCGATGATTGTGCTCGCGATAAGCAAGAGTTGTCAACTCGGAATATAGACTTATTCTTGTAAACAGCATTTCCAACATAATCAAGGAATTTTTTTGTCAAATACGCATTTTCATCAACCATTAAGACATATTTTTTACCATGTTTGCATTTCAACACGAAATAGCGAACTTTAGTGAGCGTAGTGTAATAGTACGACTATTTTTTTTCTAGGTTGAGTCGCAAATATTGATGGCACTTTTGGTGGCAATTTTAGTGCTCTTTAATAGCATGTGCTTTGACATTCGAATTGTAATAATTTAACACAGTTGATGCTTTTTTAATTCATCAAATGAAGCGAAAAAAAAGCTATTCGTTTCAAACAACATAACAATCATAAAAACTCGATTTCAGAAATTTTCCAGCTCAATTTATCTTGCAATTTTTTGAAATGCATAATTTATACATAATGTGGTTTGATGCTTTCCATTTTATCACATGCACAGTTAGTGTTGATGCCGTCAGTTTGTTAACTTTCAAATTATTACTTGCAAATTTATGTCTATTTGTAGTTGGTTCCTTTTTTGCTGCATCGCATTTGCAATTTACTATCAAATTCAGCTGCTTTCTTTGTGACTAATGCTTGCCGATTGTTAATCGTTCCTGGTCAGAGGGCAGGGCGTGAGACACCAAATCAATCTCGAGGTCACAGCTTCGAATTCGATAGGTAGTCAAGTTTTACTGATTCGGGGCTTATTTCGATTTTTCTTATTTCACTTTATAAAGCTCTTTTTTGACGTGTTTTAGCTAGCGTTTGCGAAGCTCAGCTTCGCCTGTCATTATTTGTTTTTTTTTTTCAAATATTGGTTTTGAATATACTAACTCCGTTTTTGTTTAATTTGTTTTTTTTTTTCGTTTTCCTTTGGTTTTTGTTTCCTTAAAATTTTTTTTTGCTTTATACCCAATCAGCTTAGTGGTATCATATTGCATCTTTGGACGAGCGAAAAAAGCTTCCTATTAGTTTTCAAGTCTTTAAAGGAAACAGTTTCTGCTTAAAAGTTGTCCGCTTTGTTACCGCTGTCTTTCGACGCACACAATTGTTATTTGTCTTATTTGTTATGTATTTTTGAAGGTGAAACTTTTTTGAGACAAAGATCTGAGAATTGGTTAAATTTTTATCGATATTTCCAAACCTTTTTTCAACGCGGCTTTCATCTCTTTTTTGCCTGATAGTTTGTCATTCTATGTTTGTGTTGTATTGCAAGTGGTGCAAAGATCTGCTTCGCTTCTGTTAAATGATAATCAAAGCCTTAAATTTAAGTACAATGCTGTAAAATGGATTTCAACTCTTCTGGTACGTGATTTTTTTTGCTTGCGATTAGCACGCGTTAACAAATGGAAACAAAGGCCGTTTAACAGGTTAATAACTTGTTCAACGAATTGTAAAATCTTATGAGTCAATAGATTTTTCTGACCAGGAAATATCTTTTGAGCATGTCTGTCTTTTAAACTCCTGTCCGAATTTATTTTTATACTAGTAGTAATTTTTTGTTATTTATTTTATGTTTTGTTACATAATTTTGGGGCATAATTACTCGAGAAACACACGAGACTCTGAATGAAAGCAAAAAAAGTGCGTTTCATGCTTTCTTTTGCGAGGAAAGTTTTTTCTTGGAGACTTTCTCGGCTCAACGGACGTCTACCCAAGTATTGTGCGTTAGTTAACGCGTGGTAATTTTTGTCTGAGCTAATTTAACGCTCGGTTCTGTAGTTCTCGATTTTAAACCATCAAATTGCACATCATTGGAGGGCTCTTTTTCCTTTGCCACACCTCACAGAACATCGTTTTTATGGTGTAACGAGGATTTTTACAGGTTTGAGTAAGAAAACCAAATAGGTTTGTCTTGGCCAGTCCATACGAGACAAGTTTTTCGATGTACCTTTTTTCGACGCTTTTTAAAGCGTCCTGAAGACCCTTATTTAGGTCATAATTGTTTTTTTTTCGCAAAAAAACCTTGAAATTTGTTCATGCTCACTTTTGATTTTTTTGCTGTTCAACTTTTTGCCTTTTTTTCATTCAGCAAAAGTTAAGGTAACGAAAAACATTGATTTCCTTCTTGTTTCGAAAGTTGATTTTAATTTATAGATTTTCCAGCGAAATGTTTACCTATTGATCCGGTTTTTTAAATTCGTTCAATATCAAAAAAGTGACAATCATAAATGGTTCTTGAAAATCAAAGAGCTTTAAGATCATATATTTCTTCGAAAATTTTCTCTGAAGTGAATGTTTGGTTGCTAAAAATTACGGGAAATTGAATTCAATAGTTTTTCGAAAAATATCATTCGTTTATATTTTACTTTTCATATGATCAAATTAACTCCTCATTTCACTAATGAGAGTAAGTGTATTTGTAACTGGAATCTGGAACTGGCACTGACATGCTCAATGTTTCGAAATTCATTTAAAAGTATTCCGTAGTTTATCGCAGGTTTTTAATAGTTTTCTCAAATAAACTTATATATGTGTATAAATTTTTTTGAATGCAATTTTTATGACCTGACACGCTTTTTAGTCGCCTTTTTTTTACAAAGAATGATTAGTATTTTTAAAATGTTTGCTATAATTGAAAGTTGTTTTGTAATTTGTAAACTTATGATTATGAATATTTTAATTCATTTTTTCTATCAAATTTCCAATTTGATATAGGTTATGGTAGCGTAGTCATTTTATTTTGCGCCGTTTCGAAGGCAAAAGTTTCCTTTGTGCTTTTGTGCGATTCAGGATGGGTCGTAAAAACTATGAGTTCCAAAACTTTATAGCTCAAAATTTTTATGACAAGTTATGTTTCCGGCTAAACGGGGTTCGCCATAACAACGGGGTCCATCTGTTTTTTTTTACATGGGTTGGATTTCAAATAAAGTGTCATTTATGAGCAAATTTTGAAATTTGAATGATTTAACTTGATCTATGTTTTATTCGAAAATTTAAAAATGTTAAAATTTTCTAATTTTCTGCTTACTATGTTTTTTTTCGAGTTATTGGCTCTCCTTTATTTTCTGGCTGCGTGTTTGCAAAGTTGTGTTTACGTGGTATCACAAATTCGCCTCTGTGTACAAGTTTTGTTTCAAGATCTGATTTGATTTTTCGCAGTTTGTCTTTAGCTGTTTTTCAAATTCAGTTCATTTATTTTGTTGAGAGAAAGGAAAATTCCACTAAAATGCTTTTAACGTTGTTTTTGCGTATTATTCCTTGTCAAAGGTGTGAAATTTGACTTTTTCTAGTAATTTATTTAAATTTCCGTCTCTTCTCTTCACTCTCTTATATTGCGATATGTTTGCTGCATCCAAAGTGCTGCAAATATCCGCTTCGCCTCTGTGTTAAAAACTTGCTTTCTTGGCTCTTTTCCACCCCCAGCCCCATTCACACTCACATACATTTGAATTACAACTTTGAAAAACTATTTTACGTGGTCATAATGCAATGAAACTTGACATGTTGAACAAACCAATTTTTGTGAACAGATTTGTTCATCATACTTTTCATTGTAACATCGCTCAAGGGGGAATCTGGAAATGTGCGGGAGAGAAGAGAGCCCTTTGTTGCTCCAATGTCTAAGTTGATTAATTTAATTACGATGATATACTCTGGTCTGATAACTTAGATCATGAAGCTTAAACGGTTTTTGGGTATCGTGAAACCTATGTAATTCAGGTGTTCTGGACTTGGTAAAGTCAATGAGCACTCCCAAAAGAATGCTGTTCAACTTTGCCATGCGATACAAGGCAAGACAGATCTCCAGACAGTTCCCAACTCCCATAATCGACTTCATCGTATTCAGAAAGATCGCCAACTCACTCGGAGGACGAGTTCGTTACCTGCTCTCGGGCGGAGCGCCTCTTTCGGCCTCGACTCACGAGTTCATGAAGATATGCTTCAGTTGTCCAGTGGTTCAAGGTTACGGGTTGACTGAAACTACAGGTGGAATTTCGTGTGTGGACAGATATGATATGCAACTAGGTCAAGTTGGCGGACCGACTCGGGGGGCGACGATCAAATTGGTGGACTGGGAGGAGGGTAATTACTGCGTGACTGACAAACCGAACCCGAGAGGAGAAATCGTAATCAAGTAAAATCCATATAATTTTATTTAAGCTTTGGATTAGTTAATTTTTGTCAGTTCATTTACAACAAAATTTTGCAAATGGGTGAATTCTATCTTTCATTTTTTCCTGCATTTTACGGTTAATCATTCTATGTGGCAGCAGTTTTGGTTTCAAATGAAAGTGAGACGGTTGTAGGTTTGTTCATAAAATTGAATTCAAATTGGGCTTGAAAAATGTAAAATTATTTCTCCAGGTCAAAGCAGGTGGCAGAAGGCTACTACAAAAACCCAGACAAGACTGAAGAGAGTTTCGTGCGCAATGACAAAGGAGAGACATGGTTCTACTCTGGCGACATTGGGGAGATAGACTCTCTGGGCAGACTGAAGATCATAGACAGGAAGAAGGACCTGGTGAAGTTGGCAACTGGCGAGTATGTGTCCCTCGGAAAGGTGGAAATGCTCATCAAGACCAACAGGTCAGTCTAATATTCAGCTCAGATCTTGCAATATGTTTAGACTAAATGTTTTTGCTTTAAAATGATTTTTCTGCCATGCATAAAAAATATGAAAGACTAATTTGCGGGCATTAAAGGCCAAAGTTTGATGCATTCAGGGAAACCCCTGATTACGTTCAACTCAAAAAAAATTAAACTTGTCATATGAATAATTTTAATTACTTGACATTCACTTCAAAAAGCTGTTGACATTCACTTCAAAAATCCTCTACGTAAAGAAGCATTTTTCCTTATTGTTTTTTTGATGATTTGAATGAAGGCATTTTCTGACAGTTTTTTAGAAGACAGTTTTTTAGTTTTTGTTCCGACCACTGAAACTGGGGAGGAACTGTGTCTTCAGGTGTTTTTTTTTTCATGCAAAATCAATTACCAGAAAAAATCATCGGAAAGGGTCGAGTGATATATCATATTAAAGCCCTTTCAGTCGTGAATCGAACGAAACTTAAAAATGTTTCTCGAGCAAATTGATTTGAATCGTCGAGAAAGTGTGAAACGGCTCGTTGTTAAGTCTAAATTCGAAAAAGCAAGATAGCAGGGTTATAATAGGAGGATAAGTTTTTTATTTAGGGTGTGAAAATTCAGTTTTATTACATTCAAGTTTTTTAGCGCTCTGCGAATAGAAAATTAATTTGGGACATTTCATGTTAGTGTGCTTCGTTCGCCGTCTTTTGTTTCCAGCCTAGATTTGTTTCCTTTTGCTATTTGACGTGCTCTAGGTTTGTGGAGTGTGTGATGGTGTACGCGGAGAGCACTGAGAACTACACGGTGTGTGTGATAGTGCCCAATGAGAAGGCCACTCTGGAGTTGGCTGCCCAGCTGGACATTGAGGACAATTCGATGGAGGGACTGTGTCAGAACCAACAAATACAAAAGGCCATATTCGATGTTAGTCATTCGCCCCATTAAGGCCCTACTTTAAAGTTTGTCATTGAATTGAAACATTGAATGGTTTTGCAGCTTGCAGCGACAATTGATGTCGTTTCAAAAAGCGACATTTTGCCATGAAAAATAGTAAATCAATTCTAAATAGAATGATTTTGTAATGATCCTCAAACAAGCGGTCATGTTTCAGCGGGTGTGGGAATCGGAAGTGTTTGATACAATTACTTAGCAATGGATTAAAATTAAATGTCATTGAGCCGATTTTGCCTTTTCTAGCTCTTTCATGGACAATTTTTTGCAATAACCGTTTTGCAGAAAGGGAACGGTGAACATAAAACGAAGGCTTTATATTAAGAGTAATGAATGTAGTGAGTACTCTTATAGGTAGTTTCCCAACTGGCATAATTGCCATATGGCATAAACATGAAACTTTTCCCAAATGGCATAATTTTCAAGTTTTCATTGTAATTCAAACAATTTCTATCAATTTCGAATTCTAACATTTTGCCAGGAACGAAAACGTGTGAACAATATTTGAAATTAATTGCTTCCAAACAAATGCTAATTGACAAATTTGTCGGAAAAATTGGCCACAAGATGTTTATCAATAACCGCAAGCTTATGCTTTTTGGTTTTGATAAAAAATCATAAAAAATTTTCAAGCTAAAATGTCAATCAACATTTGAATTGGCAACTTGACTAATTGTCTCACATCATTCACGAAAAAGTTTTTCTCGATTTTTGTAATGCAACTGTTGCATAAAATTTATGCCATTTGGGAAACTTTCCATTTTTATGCCATTTGGGAATTATGCCGTTTGAGACGTAATCTTATATAGGTCTTGCTGATTTTTTTTTCAGGAAAAAGTCTTAAAATTTGTTCATGCTCAACTTTGATTTTTCCCGATTTGACTTGTGATTTTTTTTTTCAAGTTCAGTGCATTTCCATTGTTAAAAGAAGGCAAACTCCACTATCGAACAACAAAAGTGTAAAGGTCACGAAAATGGAAATTCAAAAGTTAAAGATTTCTGAGAAAACCAGTCAGTTTTTATTTCAGTTTCTCTGCGTTCATTACTCTTTTCCAACTCAGTTGGTTATCTTATAAAATTACAACTATTTTTCATGAATAAATGCATCTTCTATTTACTGCAATTTTGTATTACCTGGGAAGGATATTTATTTAAAAGACTTTGAGAAATTATTGTACGTATTTTGTGCATAGAATATCATTATTAACATATTTTATTTGTTCAGGACATCAAGACACATGGTCATCAGAAGAAGTTGGACCGAATGGAGATGCCTCAGAAGATGGTGCTGACCCCGGTGGTATGGACTCCAGATACAGGCCTAGTGACAGACAGCTTCAAACTGAAGAGGAAAGAACTTTCTAGAACATTCGCGAAGGAACTAGCCGGCATGTACAGTCCCCGGGATTACTGAGATTAATAACTGAGAATACATTAACAGAAAGAAGGACAAATTCAGAGCCCCGAAAGCGTAATTATTTCAAACGAAAATTAATCGGAGACTACGTTGTGGCTTACAGAATGATTCAGAAAGTTACTTTGGTTGAAAAGTGCAGAGCCCGAGGAACCAGAAGTTGAGAATCTTATTGAAAGAATTACCATCGGCTGCCGAAAATTGAATACGATGCTAAAAGAGTTATTTTAAATTTATGACCAATAAATTAAATGAACCATGCCTTAAGTTATTGGCTACTTAATTCAAAAATAACTTGCAATCTTCAATATGCAATTTAACGGCACAAAATCAACCAATCGACGTTCACTCAGGATGCGTACTAATTTTTCCTCCTTTTTCTCGCCAAAACTTTCTGAAAATTAATAAAGCGAAATCAGTTTTTTCAAAAACTTTCTTGGAGCAAGAAATTAGAAAGTTTTGCTGCGATGTATATTCATGTGATTTGGTAGTTTTTGATTGTAATTTAATTTGAATCTCGCTGTACCTTGTTTCATTAGTTTGTTTTGGTGAATTTTTATAGCGAGCAGTTTGTAGATTAAGTTAAACTTGCCCTAACGTTGTGGTTTTGGAAACGTGCCGGATATTTTTGTACGTGATCCATTGCTAGTCATCAAATAGCTTGGTGTATTTTCCTTGTCTCGAGTATCTAAATGCTGTCTCTAGTATCTAAATGCTTTTTCATGAGATTATTGGCAAGAAAAATGGTTCTATGGGTTCAACAAATGGGTTCCTTAAATTTAAAATAATGGGAGTTAGCTTGAGAAAAGCAGAAGTGACGATTTTCAACGTAACTTTTGTAAATGGACGATACAGACTTATTTGACACATCATAGCGTACTAGAGCACTTAAGCAAACTGGGAATATCTGGAAAGGAACCAAATTGCGATGAAATTGTTTTGAAGTAATGGGTGGTAAACAAAAAATAAGACATATAAGTAATTGAAAAGACATAAATTGGTAATGAAGAAGTAATTTATACGGTATATTTTGTCAAGTGCTGTGCACGATTTTATTTTAAATTATTCGTTTGCCAAATAGATGCAATATTTATTTTGTTACTTGCTGGCGGCCTTACTCATGCCCAACTCACTCTTCATCGTCTTGTAAATTGATCTGAGAAGGTGACGCAAACGACCTATGGAGTTGGCCTTGATCTGGAGCAAGTCAATTTTAAAACTAGTGCTTCACTCGTCTATATATTCTGATCTGATGTAGGTAATAGAGTCTGAGTCTGAGAGCTTTGGAGAGATAGCGAAGCCTCCCAATAACGTAGCTTCTAGTTCTTTTCTCGCACTATACCCCTTCAAAGGCGAAGAGATAATCTGCACGGCTTCAGGTGAAGGATTTGCTGATTGTGCAACTGTGCAATGTCCGTAATGCTGTACTTATCTTAATCTAAATTTCACATACTTGTACGTATTTGTTTCTTATCTAAATCCTTTTGATAATAAATAAGTTTACAGGATCAAGCCAATTCAAACTTTATAGTATCTTTTTTGTAAAACATCCACTATCAGGTGCTTTGCTTACAGCGAAACCAATTTATTGTAAACTTTGGGAAAAGCTTTAGTTTTTAATCTTGACGAAAAGCTCAATAGGTCATTTCGCTGATATTTCGTACTGATAATTAAGTTTCTGTTTTTTCAAAGCTCTACGATAACGAAACTAGAAATGGCATAGAAAATTGATCTTTGCTTAAAGTTTTAGAAATGAATTTTCTTGTGTAAAAAGTAACTTAATATTTTCCAATTGGTTAAGTCTTCTGTATGATGAACAAATAATGTGACTTTTCTCTTACAAACATTGCTGTTTACACTAGCGAATTTTAGTGAGCGGAGTCTAATAGTACCACTTTTCTTTTTTTTTCTAGCCCAAGTCGCCAATATTGGTGCCACTTTTGGGGCACCTTTACATATTTTTGATAGCATGTGCTTTGACATTCGATTAGTAATATGTGAACACAGTTGATGCATTTCTTACTGTTCACATGAACAGAAAAAAGCTATTGGCTTCAGATATCAATACAATGGTAAAAACTCAATTTCAGAATTTTCCGCCTCAATATATTCCATAACATGGCTTTATGCTTTCGAATTTATACATAATATGGCTTTATAATATAAGATACATAATATAATTTATTCATAATATGGCTTTATGCTTTCGAATTTGTTACATGCAAAGTTAGCGTAGATGCCTTCAGTTTGTTATATCACAACTTATTACAGGCCAAATTGGGTCTATTCGTATTTGGTGCAACTTTGCTGAATCGCATAAGCAATTTGTTTTATAGAACTTTGTTCGTAACTAGTGTTTGTCGGTTGTTAAGCGTTGGTGGCGAGCACGCAGGGTGTGAGACTCCAAATATCGAGGACGCAGGTTCAAATTCAATTCGTAGCAAAGTCGTACTAATTCGAGGCTTATTGCACATTTTTCTGGTTTCACTAGCGAATACACGACAAACAATCAGCTTTAAAAAGTGTTTAATTTTTGCGAAAATAAAACAAATTAAACTTGAATTTCAAACGCATTGTTTTCAAATGAAGCAAAAAAATTGATGGAAGCAAAATTAGCTGGTAATTTTATCAGAAATCAAATGTTGCTTTTTATTTTTCAACTTTGGAACCCAAAATTTAACACAAAAACAGATCTTTTTTGGCTTTTTTTCAGTCAGTTAAATATTGCGCAAAAACTACTGGGTCAATTGCTAACCCTGACAAATCTAACAAATCTGAATAAAATGAGCCTCTTATGCGCCTCAACAAAATTTATTGAGGTTTAATCTTCTAATTTCTGTAGAAATAATTTTTTTTTCGTGTGATAGTCAAGAAATGTCATCTATTATATATTTACACTTGCGAAGTGAGTGTATTAGTACGAACCTCCTTTTTTTCCTACCTAAATTGGAAGTATTGCTTCCACTTTTGGGGCACCTTTACAGATTTTTCATAGCATGTGCTTTGACATTCGAATAGCCATAAGTTAACACAGTTCATGCATTTGAAATTCATCAAATGTACCGAAAAAAGTAATTTGTTTCAAGCAACAGCAATAATAAAAACTCGATTTCAGAAATTTTCTAACTCACTATCTAGCAATTTTTTTGAAACGCATTATTTTTACATAGATTGTTTTTATGCTTTGTGATTGGTTACATGCAAAGTTAGTGTGGATGCCTTCAGTTTGTTGTATTCCAAATTATTACGGGCAAAATTTGTATTTGATTCCTTAATTGATGAATCGCCTTGGCAATTTATTAGCATATTTAGCTGCTTTTTTTGTGACTAGTGTTTGTCGGTTGTTAAGATTAAGTGGCTTAGTGCGTGTGCTCAAATTCTCTTGATTGCAAGAGCTCGCAGATTTGAATCCTACACGTAGCCGAGTTTTTGCTAATTCTAGGCTTATTTCTACTATCTTATTTCACTTGATAGAACTGCTTTTTGGTAGTGTTTTCGCAAGTGTTTGCGGAGCACAGCTTTGCCTCTGTGGTAATTGCGGGCTTCACCATCTCGCCATATTTAAGGTTTTTCAACGTAATATTTTTGCATGTTTAACGAAAATTCTTTCCATGTTTAAGCTATATCGTATATTGCAAAGGTTACGAATTTGTTATGACTTTCCAGTTTGAATGCAGTGTTTTCCCCAGGGGTTGCAATTTTCGCCTCAAATTATGAATACCCAAATCTTTTCAGTTAATGAGATATGACGGTTTTTGTGACTTTTTGCAGAATTTTTAAATCAGCAACTGTATAGTTTGGTGCTGTAAGGGTAGCCTCTACGATTGCAAATCATGCCTCCATATATGACTGCTGAAATCGTTTTCGAGATATGAGGTTTTTTGGATTTTTTTAAATTGTCAGAAAACTTAGATCTAAAAAAATCAAAAGACTGTTGTTGGTGCTGTCGGGGTACTCTCAGGATTTGCAAATCTTGCCATAAAAAATGGCTGCTCAAATGCTTTGAGTTTCCGCGATGTTACTTTTTTAATGATTTTTTTTCAAAACTTTCAAAGTCTATAATGAGGAACTGTCAAGGTGCTCTCGGGAGATTTATGTCTTGACGCCTAAATGACTGCTCAACGCCTTTTACTTTCCTAAATATGACGTTTTATGTGGTTTTTCAGAAAATTTTCAAGTGTTAAGTTTAAAAATGTTTTTTTTTCAAAATCTGAAATTGTCAATTTTTTGCTTGGGTGATCTCAGGTTACTTCCAGCAGTTTTTGATGTGGACTCGAGCCTTGTAGTATTTTTCAAATTTTTCAAGCTTTCGAAATTGGCGTTTTGTTCTTGTATTTTTTTGTTCAAAAATAATTACGCAGAATGAAAGGATTGATGGCAACAATTGATATACGTTTTGGTTAACGAAATGAAGATTTAAGTTAAAGAAGAATCTCATTAATGATTTAGTAATTTTGCAACTAAAATTGTTTCGAAAGTTTTTGCTGTCGGCCATTTTAGGGTTTTGTTTCTGAGGTGAAAATATGGGAACATCAGTGGTGTGCTGTCGGTCACGTAAGTGTTTTGGTATTGAGTTGAAAATACGCGGATCTGAAATCCAGTAGTTCTGGAGATTTACCATGTAGGTTTTTAAAAAGTTTATAGGTGGAAATTTTCATTAATCGTTCATTTTTTGAATTTAATAGCTTGTTGGGTGACCGCGTTCACTTTTACGTTTGCATTCATTTCGTTGTTCATTAATCTTATTGAAGCGCCGGAGCTGCATCATACGCTAGTCTATGTCAAAATTTTCTAAGCGGAATTCTTTGGAGTATCTTAGTTCGGTTAACGCCAAAAATTGAGTCAAAAACTTTGATTGCCTTTTTTGTTGACTCGCTCACAATTGAAGTTTTGGTGGGTTTGTTTTCTAAATCTATTTCTACTCAAACTTCGATTGCTCATTTCGTGAATCGCTCATTTGAAATTTTGTGATTTTGATTTCAAAATGTTTTACATATACAGTGCTGATTTAAATTAACCGGACAAAACGAGCTAAACTTGAAAATTAAAACGCGTTTTTCTCAAATTGGGTTTTCTGCAAAAAAATAACGAAACGGGCTTAACCAATACAAGAATATCTCCAGTTTGCCTTTTCAGTTTAGGCAGGCCAATCTGCAAAAAATTCAGAAATAGATGGCCAGTCGATTAAAAAAGACAGGTCTGTGGAAATCTTTTAATAATGAGGATCTCATTTTTTAGTTCGACTTGAAGTTGCCAATAGAAGCTCTTTACAGTTAAGCAACTGAGAGCGAACCGCTGAATGCATATCCAAATGTTTTTGAAAACTAGTTTGGCAGGGTTCTGCTTATTTTGAGCCAGCAGCTTGGAATGATTTTAACAATGCGCTGAATGGAAACCAGACAGATTTTGTTGACGTTTGGCAGAGAGCTTTCGAATTATGATCGGTTTACACTGACCCAACCGTATCAAATTTCAATAATCAGATGAAAGAAGAGCAAAATTAAACGATTTTTTTTTGGCTCAAATATAAAATGGGAAATAGGAGCAAGTGATCCATAGGATATTAGAAGCCAATAATTTCATCAAGACAAAAGTCTAATTTTTCAGCTGGGAGCTCTTGCAATTGTTTTGACGGAAAAAAGCTCCGTATTGAAGACCTTGAATGCTTTGATATTTTGTCCGCCTTATTTTCGCTTGGATTTTTTGGATTTTGCCTTGGCCTTCGTTTAATTCTTTGATCACAGGAAAATAATGTTCGTTTTTTTTACGATTTTTTTAAGAAAGTGTGAGTGTCATTTAGTAATTTCGTTTCTGCATCAAGTTTAAAAAACACTACGGTCAACTTAAACATGTTTTACGCTTTAGGAAACTCCTTTCGGTCAATGTTTTGATGAGAAGAAGCATCTCAATTGATGATCCGAAGTCTTAGCTTTTGTCAATTTCTGATGGGCAATACTTACTACTTAATCTGGCAGCATCTAGCAGTTCGAAAGTATTTACAATCACGGCACATAGAATGTGCAACTTTTTAGTTTTAGTGGAAAAAAATGCTCGAATTTTTTCAGCACGTTTTTGTCGTTTTCTCTGCAATTATTGAAATTGGCAAATGCTCGAGGAAACTATTTGGAAGGACTTAACCGTTCGAAAATTTGAGGTATTTTGTTTGGAAATCGTAAATAAGCCAGTATTTCATAAATCGTTTTTGACGTGTTCTTACTGTGGCTCATTAAAGAAGCTGATGAGCTCGACTTACTTTTTGTGCCGCGTAAAATTGACAAACTAAACAATTGAACTAAATCAGGCGTCAAAAACGGTCGTATCTGTTTTGACGGTACAGATATTAAAAAGGCTTCGACTCTTATTCCAGAAAGTTGGACAACCTTAAGAGACAACAGAACAGAGAGTCCTATGTATGGATCGGAGCAGTCATTTTTCCAAAAAAAATTATGTTGGAACAGTTCATTTGCTTGCTTGTTTAGATCATCAGTTGGTTTAGATAATCTGTTTGATTTTTTTTTCTGAACTAAATTGAG